AGAATAAAATTAATTTATAAATATTACGAGAATGAGGAGAATACTAGAACCTGCTAGCCTAAATAAAAGAATGGCTGAGTGCAAGCTGAACCAAAAAGTTCGGGATAATTGATAAATCGGGCCGTTTTTCTATTCGCCTTGATTCAAAATTAGAAAGAAAAAAAATCTGCAGCACAATTATTAAACTATACAAATATTTCTGATGGTCGTCATATTTTCTCCTTTTTTGTTTTTATCTTAAGTCTTCAATTTAGTTAAAGTCTTTTTTTAGATTTTAGTAAAAAAAAAAAAAAAAAATGCTGAAGCGGAGGCGACAGCCGTAGCGAAAACATCAACTATCCTTTGCTTTGCAAAGGATAACAGTTAAAATTTCATCGGTTAATTTGCAATGATCCTGTGAAATTAATGTCACGTGATTGATGAAATATTTTAAACTGGTAATTTAACTGCTATTGCTCATCTCCTCCCCAAAATATCATAATTTCACCTTCGTCAGATAACATAGTACTTCTAGCATTAGTACTAGTTGAACTTATCACACTTTCTCTTAGTAATTCAGGAGATTTAGGCTCTTTACTATATACTTCGTCACCACCGAATAGTCCGAATGACTGTCGCCCTTCTATTTGATCTTGGGATGGAGAATCGAGATGGTGCTGTTGTGATAGTTCTTTAAGTTGTGGGCGAGATGACTCAGTTGATGGTCTTTCTATATCAATACTAGGCAGTACATCATTATTTGATTCAGTATCAATTGAAGATTTTGTCGGACTACCCGGAGAAGATGCTGTTGAAGGCGTGGTCAAGAAAGATTTGGCTGTTTTTGGAGTGTTAGGATCGCTAGATCCATTATATGTTGATTGTGAAGAACTCTTTGTATCTGAGCTGCTGTTTGATTTGATAATATTTAATTGAACAATTGCAGGTTTAGCACGTGTTGCCGTTATTACGGTTGTTGCTGTTGTGGTTTTAGTTGCTTGCAAGATTGTACCAACTTCTGAAATCGCATCATCATCTTCTATAAAATCAATTAACGTTTCAGAAGTAGTATTTTTATGTAATGGACTACCTAGTGGTGTAGTTCCCGCGCTAACTATTGACATTCGCGTTCTACTATAAGTATCTTGAGGTGGTGGTATGTAGGCAATCGGAATAACATTTTCAGAATACATTGAACTGACTTCTTCACCATTATCTAATTTAATGCCTTTACTTTTAGATTTTCGTTTGTATAAGAAATATATAGCAACAGCCAAAACAATTAAAGCAAGGACACCACAAATCACAGCCGGTATTAGTTTACTGCTTCCATTATCCCCATTGGAATTAGAGGGACTTACTGTGCTATTGCAAGATGCCACTGGACATTTTTTACAAGTCCTCACAGTAAGGACGCAAGTCGTGCCTGACGGGCAACTAGGACATTTGGGAACATCTGTACATACCACACAATCTGAATCGGATGAATCAGAAGTAGAATTAACTTGTAAATAGAAAATGAATTGAATTAATAAAATTGTTCAATATTGTTTTTATAAAATAGTAATAAACACAACACTAAGTAGTAACTTACGATCTGCCGTTACCAGCGGTACATCTATTAACGTGATTGTTATACATATTATACCAATCAAGACCCATGGATTTATTTTTGATAAAAGAAATCTATTTAACATGTTTATATGTTATATAAAATTTCTCATAAAGTAGACGATAGTAACTGAGGAAGAAAAAAAAAAACGAGTGTAAAGAAGTTTTGGAGAATTATATGTCTGTAAAGTTTAAAAGAGAAACGCCAAAAGAAATTAGACAAAGGAAACGTTTAGCAAATCGAAGGTTAGAAGTAATGTTTCATACCAATTGTTCGGAAGGGGCTTAGGAAGCCAATTAAAGAAATGGTAGACGAGGAAATACTAGACCACATCGACAAAGTTCGAACATACAACAAAGGAAGGTCATAATATTATCAACAATTGTTTCACTACCTAATTAAGTCATATCCAATCACTATGCCTACCTATACTTTAATAATGTTATGCACCTATCAGCATTATAGCGTAATCTGCTGTGATACTTGATTCCATAAAAAGTAAATACATTTCTAGGCATTGCTATAAATAGCCCACAATTCAATATTTGAAATATTCGACACACAACGGAATACAAATAGTGAAACTTTCTGAAACATCACATGAAATACTTCTAACTTCACAATGTTAGACACAGATTCACAAAATGCTCATATCAGCGAAGGTTTTGCACTTTTAAAGACTATGTTCTCTTTCAAACAGTATAATAATTATTGACTGGTTAAGTTTTTATTAGATGAGGCCGCGTTGTACGATAGACAGATTAGATTATGGGGTTTAGAAGCTCAACAACGGTTTGTAATAAATGAGCTTTGATTACTAATTTCGTTTGCTGCAATTGAATTGATATTTATTTGATTTTTATTTGATTTTGTATCGGTTGTACTCTCTAGAATGCGTATTTCATCGATTCTAATCAGTGGGATGCGAGGTTTAAGTAATGAAATATGCAAGAATTTGGTTCTTGCAGGAATTGGTGCTATTACAATAATTGATCATAATTTGGTAACGGAAGAAGATCTTGGAGCACAATTTTTTGTGACCGAAGAGGACATAGGAAAGAAAGTATGCATAATGTCAATTTTTTTTTATCACAATTATTATTTATCGTATGACAAAAGTTGAGACACTATTGTTACACGTAATGTATGACTTATTAAGAAGGCAATTGTCTCGGCGGATCGTATTCGTCAATTAAATCCTCGTGTCGTGGTGACAGCTGATGATGGTGACATTCTCGCCAAGCCAGATGATTTCTTCAAAGCTTTTGATTTAGTGTGTCTTACGGATTCTGATCCTGATACAATGGTAAAGTCGAATTAAATAAATGCTAAAATATTTAAGTTGTTTTGATTAATAAATTATTAATAAATTATATATATATATATATATGTATAGGTCCGAATTAATGAAATCTGCAGAATTTTTGATAAAAAATTTTATGCAGCCTGCACTTATGGTTTCTACGGTTATATCTTTTGTGATCTTAAGCAGCATGAATATATAGTGTATATATTACGTAATTGGATGAACATTTTGCTATTTTAGCTGAAATTAACATTTTTACTATATTAAAACATTAAAGAGAACGAAAGGTAGCAATACCACATAAAGATGAGCACGAAATAACAAAGCTAAAAAAAAAAGATGAATACGTGAGCTTGCAATGCTCTCTGTCCAAAGTTGATTGGGCGGAAATTTCAGATAGGAAACT